GTGTATACCTTTAAGATCCTCAATATTTTTGGACACTTAGATACCATTATCTTATAGTGCAGTAACTTTTTGTTTAGGAGTATTTTAAGTAATTAGTTAATAAGAAAGTAGAAATTCCTAATAGAACCAAAGGCATTTATTAACAATAGTCAACAATGACATCACCGATATAATGTGTGACATCACCTACAAGATACATTAATTGTTTTTTAATTACTAATAAAATGTCATTATTTTATTATAAAAATATCCATTCTACCTTTCTAAATGATAAAAAATACCCATACTTGAAAATTTTTGTATTTACAATTCAAGAGTATCTACATGTCCAAAAATGTTGAGGATTTTAAAGGTATACACTACCAAGTGATGTACAGTAACAAACCCCCCACACACACATTAACAAGCTCCCCCCCACCCCCAGACATACATTAACAAATCCCCCTCCCCACACACATATAAGAAAATTTCGCATTTCTACATTTGCGTTCCTCGAGGTATAAAGCATCTATCTTAAAGATGGATGCAAATGGGTAGTCCATCTAAAAACAATTGAAACTACTGGTCCAAATCTTTTCTTAATAGAATTACTATTTCTAATTTTCAAAATTTATTTATGTGTTTACATTCATGATCTCCATATTAGAGATTACATGTCCTTAAAAAATTAAGTCCAAAAATCCATCTCAAAAATAGACTTTTAAAGGGATTGTATACTATGAGACCATTTATTGTTAGTACAAAGAGGTCACACTTGGTACTAGCCATTAGATGTCAAATTGGATAGCTTGGAGTATGTAACAAAGTTCAAAAAATTATTTTTTTATCTTGGAGTCTAATCAATAATATACTCACAACTATCCGATTTGAAATTTAATAGACAAAAATAATTGTGGCCTCCTTGTATTAAAAGTAGAGGGTGCGATTTGTATAGAGCCAAGGTTCCAAACAATCAAAGTAAAGCACACCTTCAAATAGTATCGAGAAATGTGATTTTAATATTGGAAATCTTTGTGATAGCCTTAAAATATATTTTTACATTTAATTATAAAATTTAAAGCTTCAAAAATATTATAGATCAAGTATATATATGTATATATATGAAAACTTGAAAATCTTGAAAATTGACAATCCAAAAATGCGTTACAAGATGCATTATTTCAAAACTTTGAAATCTATTTTTTTTTCATGTTTATGTATGTCAATGTCAAGATGATCAATAAAAAGTAAATGATTTCTTTATATACTTATCTAAATTAAATAGTAATTCGTTTCTACATGGACGTATAGAAACCGTGTCCCTTATATGAGAGAGAAAAAGGTGAAAGGCGCATGGGGCGGAGGGAGATAGAGCGAGAGTGAAAAAGGTCAAGGTGTATGGGCTTGGGATGACGCCTTAATTGCATAATGGGAAAAGGTGTGCCACGGCATCGGCATTGAAATGAGAAATGGCCCTTTTTGAATTGGCAGCTGCAAACCGTCCGATTTGCGAGAGATCATCAACTCTGTCAGCCATGTATGTACCCATACGCAAGCGGGGTGAGGGGATGATTCCCAACACACACCCCAAAGGCTCATGCAATAGTATAAATTTAATGATCTAGATAGAATTTAATGACCTAAATTGAATTGGGACGAACAACCATAATTATATTTTATTATTGAATTTTAATTTTTTTTTGCTCTTGAAAAAAAATAAAAACACTTAATAAAAATATTTAAAAATAATTCATAAATAATAACAAAAATACCTTTCAAAGTTTTAGTGGTTTTTTGGAAATTATTTTTTATACACTAACGTGGTCACAATAATTTTTACCCATCAAATGTGAAATCTGACAACTTAAAGTTTGTCCAAAAGTTCGAAAAAAAATTGTATGAATATTGAACTACGTCAATGAAACACTCATAGCCATCTAATTTCATATCGGAAAAGAATCGTGACCTCTGTGTACCAAAAGTGAAGTCTTAATATATACTTTTTCCTTTCTTTTTTGTTCTATTTTAGTTATTTTTTGATCTATTTAAGTTGTGCTGTTTCTATTCATTGTTGCTTTCTCTCATCTCTTAGGTTTTGCACAACAATACGAGTGTTTTCTTCTCTCATTTCGTAAACAAAAGGATCAAGAAGGCGTAATGTGGGTATCAAACGAATCATATATCCTAGGTAACTCATGTACCTAATGTTTCTAAACCTTAACTACCCTGAGTACCCTAGTCCAAACTGATTCTAATGTTGCTGGATTCTTATTTACAGGATTAAATGGAAATTTTGTCTTGTACTTATGAAGGTGCCCTCTCATCCTAACGAAAACAAGTAGATAGAACAATGAGCTATGACCCACTCAAATGTATGTCTAAAAGCACAAGGAATGAACAAGTTTGTTGTAACGAAAAACTTGAGGAATCAACATCAAGCCATGACCCTTTCCGAGAGGTAGTTGAGCAAAGCAAGTGTCATAGTGTTGGAATTTGGGATAAGTAGGCCAACGGCCCAAAATGCAAGCTTACAAGCATGGTCTTACATGATAAGTACACTTTTGGGATCACACAGTATGTGTAAATGGTCTAGGCCAAAAATACTAAGTCTTGAAGAATTGGGAATATATACAATAAAATTATTTTATTTTAAGTCACTATCATTATTTACCATTGATTTTAAAATCAGGTAGGTAGAGATCTGCACAAAATCCAAAATAAAATTTTTCGAATGTTGTGACACTTTCATTTATTAGATTTCACGTCGGCTGAAATTAATTGTGAGTATACAAAATAATGGTCTCATAGCATACAGTCTTCATTATTTCATGGCCTGATGCATTCCCATACTGATTCCCATCAAGTTCAACACCTTAAGAGGATGGACCACCTACTAAAGAAGACAGCAGGACGACACCTCAAAGATCACCAATGTAAACTGGAAATTACTTGACTTCTATTTATCATAATGAAAAAAAGGGGCAGAGCTACAATTTCCAAGGATGCCATGGACTAAGAAGCCATCCAGGCAAACCTATACCTCTTACAGTCCACAAACTAAGTGGTACCCAAAAAAAAAAAAAAACAGAAGAAAAGCTTCTGAAACTTTTGCTATCAAGATCACAAATCTGAATTTCAATTCGACTTCGAGTAATTCCTCCAAGTTTCTTGAATGGTTTCTTGCTCATGGTTTCAACATTGACTTCTTACTTGCAAAATGTGATCTTTGGTTCCTTCCATTGAAGAACGGCAAGAAGCAATAAATATGAATGCTCCTAGTTGTATCGAGTGATGCCAATAAAGATCAGATTACATCACCGGAAAATTTACAAAGGCTTCTAAAACTACAAAACTCGATGCAATCATGGATGGTCATCTCATGTTGCAGCATTGAGCTTTGCCACTCTGCAACTTATTCCACATGCACAACATCTGCCGTGGCGACTGGTAGTGGGCAGTGAAATAATCATCTATGCACCCAAATTGACAGTACTTGAAGTCATGAACGTATTCAACTGGTCTTGAACTATTGAATTGCTCAACCCACATCCCCATGCTCACATCTTCCATCTTAAAGAGCTGCACCATCATCACAAGAATCAACATCATGGTCTGCTATTTACAAAGAGAAACAATGGGGAAAGCCGCTGTCCGTAGGATCATCACCATCCCTCGAAATCATAGTTTCTCCTCTCACCATCACTGTCTATGACTTCAACCAATGGAGATCACCCAATGGACTATGGTTTTCCCATAAACCCTTTGATTAAATTATTCTTTTTCTTGACAGTGAACAATGAGACTTACCCTCAGTGTCTGCTTCTCGAATTCTGACGTGATAAATTCTGCAATATCTGCTGATACAACATATCCGGGGCCATTTGCATATGGTGGGTAATCTTCTTCAAGCCATTCCTATAACACAAACGCCAGGCAATCCGATTGAAATATGAGCAGCAACTAACAATTTCTTGTACAAATTTCATAGCAAGTAATTGAACTTTACAACTGATCATACAATGCCCATAAGAAAAAGAAAGGCTAGTAAGGGAGAGAAGATTGGTTCAGCAGTCACAGAAATGCAGAAAGAAGGATCCCAGGGTATCACATGGAACAGGCAAAAGCAATTTGATGCAGGGTTTCTAGGTTTTGTCAGCAAAACGTTTACGACCAAAGAAAGACAAATCAAAAGGAGAAATGGCAGTATTGTACACGACAATAACTGCTAGAAGCTAACTGGCATACTCCACAAGTTAGAGGAGGTCTAATCTATTGAGTAAAGCTAATTGCTTGAAGAGAATAACAGAGCCAAATGTTACACCAAACAGCTGAGACTTAGGTACACACCTCATATGTAACAGCCCATTTTCCAACTCTGAGGGGTTTGTGATAGTAATTCATGTTGCCAATGTACAAGCTTCTATCGCTTGGCACTTTCTTCACTTCCTTAATCACAGAATTGACCCTCACAAATGTGTCATCATCACATTTCATTATATACTTTGCAGATAAAGCACGAACCTGCATGCAAATCACAGATTTTATCAACAAGATGCAATAAGAATGGCTCTTCTGAGCCAGAAAACAAATCTGTGCATTTACATTAGGGAGAAGACTGATGATATATTAACTCACCCCATATTCACAGATAGCAACAGTTTTTAAAACCACGAGGTCATAGCTATCCATGAATGGCACGATAATGATATCTCCAAAGTACTCTGCTTCCTTCTTGAGCTCAATATTCACTTCTTTTCTGCCATGCTGACATGTCAAAAAGAATGAAACATGAGATGAAAAGTAAAAATGTGGCTGATAATATTGCATCTTTCTCTTTCTCGAATATGGCTACAAGAATTTGGTTCTATGCAACCATGAGAAAAACAAACACACAACAAGAATGCTTCTTCATGGCTAAAGATCTCCTCTTTCTTTTTGAAAGAACGGCTAGTCGAAAAAAAAAAAACAATATTTCGGCAAGGGGGAAAAAAAAAGAGAAAAACAAAAAGAGCAAGCTGCCCCTCACCAGTGCAACGAAAAAACGAGCTACAACTCTTGATGATCTAATAACCCGGGATTGCATCCAAGACTTCCTCACCGCCATCCGCTCAGCAAAGTGGTTGCCAGCAGAGAGGATACCAATGAAGAGATCCACAGGGCCCTCCGGAAGAAGTGGGGCCTGCCACCTGCTCGACATTTCAAGATGTCTTTGGGGGGAGAAGCTGGGATGTGTAGTAGGAAGAGAAGCAGCAAAGATGGAGTGCACATCAATATCACCATTCAGTGACAAGCCAGTTGCATCCTCCAAGACAAATCCCTGCCCAATTAACATGTTGAGAATGCATTAGAGAGAGAGAGAGAGAGAGAGAGAGAGAGAGAGAGAGAGAGAGTATTATTTATTAGTTAGGGAAGAAAATGCTTTGGACACCACAAGGAAAAGTATATCACAGTCCAATGGACTATGAAAACCATAGTCCATCTCTATCCAACACTGTCCATTGCTTCATCAGTTGGTCTATATTTGGGAGAAAAAATGATTTGAACACCACAAGGAAAAGTATATCACAGTCCAATGGACTATGAAAACCATAGTCCATCTCTATCCAACACCGTCCATTGCTTAATCAGTTGGTCTGACATGACCCATATGGGGTATGGTTTTCCATAATCTACTTGGACTATAGAATACCTTTTTTTCTAGATCAAAATCAATCAGCAAGAATTGCAAGGAAGAAGAGATCAAGATATTCACTCACAGTGCGATATGGGAAAGAAGTGACATGCCTCCCATCTACATTAACATGGTAACCTTCCAATCCAGAGCTGAGAGTGAGCACAAACAGCTTTTCTTCAGCAAAGGGATAGGGCCAGTCAATTGTAACTTTCTTTGTGCGACCAATTAAGCGGTTTAACCACCAAGTCGTCTTTGACTCCTCCGAGTGGTCATCGTCATCTCGAATCCACTTTTCACATTTTACTTGTACGTCAACTATTCATTGTCAATAAACATAATCAAGAAGAGCTCCAAGGTAAAATAAAAAAAAATAACCTCTAAAATATCAATCACACAGTTACAAACGAAGCAGCATTAAGCAATGTGCAAAATATCACAAAAAAAAGGGAAGACCAGTTGATATTTCCATAGCTCACTTGATTCCTTCATATTTTTTCTGTGTTGTTATAAGAAAAATTTACTTACCTATTATTTTAAGTCAAATTTCATTAAAATAACTTTTCAATCAGATCAGGTAGGCTAGAAATGGGGTAGGCCATTCCCATAACCAACAGTAATCATCCTAACTATACAACACCTCTAACCTTCAAACAGTAAACTCTCGACTGTAATTTTACATGGAATCCAGCCAAGGGTGAAACATATAACCTACACATTCAACAGATTTTTCCATTTTTTTCACTTATAATACTCGTACCCCCCAACAAAGCTTCATTCAACAAGTAAATTTCAAGAACAAGCTAAACTAATTTCAATTTTATGCCATCATTTTGATAAAAATCAAGATACTTATTTCATTTCAACCCCACCAATTCAACAAAAATCAAGGAACCAATTTCAGCACAAAACCGTCACTGTTCTAACAAAACTCAATCCTCCTCAACAACCAGTCAAATTACTACACCGATTAGTTAAACTTAGCTTCACAACCACCAAAGAGAAGGTCTAAATAACAAGGTCGCTCATATCAGTTTTGAGGCAGCAAGGGGCCTGTTGAACTCGGAGATGCTATCGTTTACAGCCTTTAATAGTCAACTTAATTGTGGAGAACTTAGTTTTCTGGAGAATGCCTCCATGGAAAAAAACTAGTCCCGTTCCAAAAAAGAAGGGTAACCAGATATTTAAATCCACTAAAAATGTGGGATCTCTGGCATCAGGTGGTTTTAAAGCCTCACCAATGGAAAACAAAGTAACCCTAAGTCCTGTTTGGTAACCAAGAAAAAAGTAGAAAACGACATGTTTTCTCAGTTGCCACATTTTCGCTTGTTTGGGAATGGGGAAAAGCATGGAAACGTGGAGCACCACATTTCTCCAAGTTTCGACGCTTTTCCTCAATTTTGGGGAAAACTACAGTGCAACCCAAGGGTGCGCTTCCGATTTTTCAGGAATACAGGTGAGGGGGTGCAAGACCCTCCACACCCCCTTTTCACCTTCTCTCTCTCCTCTCAATCTATTCTTGCCCAAGCTCTAGCCCGGCTTTCTCCGTTTTTTCACAAACAGGTTACCAAACAAGGGTTCTCAACTTACAGCCAGGAGTTTTCTACTTCTACCTTTTCTTCAGGCTTCCAGTTTCTTAGAGATTCTCCAGGAAAAGAGCTTTCTTAGTTGCAAAACAGGTCCCTAAGCTCTAATGAATTCCACAACAACAATAGTGAAATTGAACAGCAAACCATCACTTTTAATTGAGAATGGCATCATAACAGTGAATTTTCACAGAGAAGTCCAAAGTTTAAATCAATAATGCCTCCATAGTAGTGCTTAAGTAATCAGTCACAGTCAATAAAAAGAAACCAAATTACCATCTCCATGAAGAAATGAAAACCAGGTAGAAGGACAGAGAGTAGAAAACATACCAGTTTCTTCATCGGCTCTTGATTTCCATCCCTCACATCTTAATGCCGAACCCCATTGCATTCGATAACACGTGTTCTGCTCAATAACAGGCTTCCCACTCCAATCACCCTTTAACCTTGGATTGAGGTGCAAAATCCTCGGAGGGTCCTCACCATCAACTGCCTTCAATCCCTGCAACTCCAACATGAATTGAGAAACCATCAAAGACTTAGACCCATCCTTCAATGTCGAGATTTTGGGGTCGTTCTCTTCGTGAGCCTTATGAGGCCTACCCACTAATGTAATGTGAGAACCAAGTGTTAATCCACAAGGAAGAAGCAAAACCTTCCTGTTCTTGGATTCGAATTCAAAACCAGTCAATGAGATAGAGTGTGGGCAACTCTCTTCCTCCTTTCTCTCTCTAGAAATCTCCTTTCTCTCACTAGAATCCTCAACCTTGTGATTCTCCACCTCTCTCCAAACCTTCTTACCAATTCGACGAGCATCATTCGCCGACCTTTGAAGCTCTGAGACCCCACTTGAACGATTCATGGAGTCGAGGGGCAGCATAGAAATCACACCAAAAGACCTAATTTTTCTGTCAGTTGAGGGCTGGAGGGAGGCTTGAAGGATCCTATCTCTTGCTGGTCTAAGCGGGGCAACTTTATTGTCTTCGAGTCGCTGGCGAAGAGTGGTGTCGAGGGGATGAGAGAGGAGGAGTTGGGGGGCACGGAGAGGGTCAGAAATTTCATCAATTCCCTCTGATGAGTGCTCGGCATTGAAGAGCAGCGGGACCTCAACGCTCATGAAGAAGAGGTAGAGAACGCCAGCAATGAACAAGGCCTGCAAAAACTTGCTCTTGATTGGTAACCCTAGATCCGCGAACTTGGCCTTCTTCATCTTCAGTTCTGAAAAGGACCCAATTGAGATCCCCTCTCAGAAACCCTAATTTTAGCGCCCCCAATACCAGAAAAGTGCGAAGCCTATGCTATAGGCAACGGCAATTTAGAGAGAGAAAGCCAAAGAGATGGGTTTTTCCAAACGACCATGCGCCTGAAGAACAGAACTGCCAGTTGTATGAAGAAAGAAGGTGGAGGGGGAGGGGCTCTCACGCCAACTATCAGCCCCCGAAAACAACAGAACTGCCGGCGTTAACAGAACTGCCGGAGTTCAAGTCTAGAGAGAGAGGAAAAGTCGGTTTTCTTCTGGCAACTACTAAACGCTGGCACCAAGAGGGGTTTTTATCGTTGTCATGAACTGCGCGTCGATGGTCTTTAGAGAGAGAGAGAGAGAGAGAGAGAGAGAGAGGGAATTAACAAAGACTTGGTGTTGGTGGCAAGAGAGAGAGAGTTGTAATGGAAGACTGAGAGACAGAGAGAGAGAATTAACAAAGACTTGGTGCCGTTGGCAAGAGAGAGAGAGAGTTGTAATGGAAGGGACTGACCTGGTTCGTGTTAAGGTGGGCGCTGGACCAGCACCACCGCCTCCTTTTGGGGAGGGTTCCCTCGGAAAGTTCGCCCCTTTGATCTCTCTATTTTTATTTTAATAAGAACAAACCTTTTGATCATTGCCCTGTGATTCTTTTCGTTTTTGAAATCGCAATACGATAATTTATACCGGAGAAATATTCCTTCCATAATTTATCCAAAAATAAAAAAACGAACATTACAGCTTCTATTTCGCCCTTCTTTCTCTATCTAAAACCAAAACACAGTAACAAACATTACAGCTTCTGTGTCGCCCATTTTTCTCTCTGTAAAAAGAATCTCAAAAGTTAAGTCGACGGTGATGGATACTTATGGTTACATATCTCTTCTATGGTCATATGGATCATAGTAACTTGCCCTTTACTAAATGGTTAATAACAAGTAACCCACCTCTCATATTTCCCTCTCTAAATTTATCTTGTCGTGTCGTCCTTAGAGAGTCCATGTGGAACGTTAGACGATGCACCATTTTCAAACGGGCTTGTCTCGCTATTAACGTTTGGCGCCCACGTGGCAACTTAGTAGTCATTGGCTGCCACGTCTTATCCTAAGTCGTGGGTCCTAGCTCTAGGTCCCTACCTAGCTCCTTTGGGCCGTTGCTCCAAAAAAAAACCTCAACCGCGTCCTGCGTCTTCCTATCATTCTCAAATCTTCAACAAAACATTTGGTAAGTTTTTTTTTTTTTTTTTCTATAAGGGCTCTGTTTTATTAGAGTCCACACGCTAAACAATCACCTTCAAATAGCATCCGGACATATGATTTCAATAATTGAAAATTTTTGTGATAGCCTTTAAAAGAATTTTCATCTTTAGTTATAAAATTTAAAACTTAAAAAATAGTGTAGCACATCTATAAAAACTTGAAAATCTTAAATATTGACGGTCCAAAAATGCGTTACAAGATGCACTATTTACAAAATTTAAAGTCTCATTTTTTTCTGACGTCCATGCTATTAGCGTATATATATCTATATTAATATATGTCATTATGAATACATATTGAGATATGAATATGTATGGGTATATATCTCTTGGGTGTCTCTTGATTATGATAAGATAATCAATACATATTGAGATATGTATATGTATGGATATATATCTCTTAGGTGTCTCTTGATTATGATAAGATTAATTAGTAGTTATCCATAAGCGTTGGTATTTATCTTTAATTGTTATTGGCTGTATATTTATACGGGTCTTGTATATTTTTTATTAATCAATAAAAAAAGAGTTATGTGTAGTATTCTGAAATAATCTTCCATGAGAGTTTAATGCCCAAATATATAGAAATACATTCGAGATGATCATTTTAAAGATATTTGAGCATCAAAACAACCTCTTCTAGTGAAATTTTTGAGGCTGGTTTTAATTTGATTGTATAGAGCCTCATATCTAAACTATTCCATATTTAAAAGGAAAGCATTTCGGGAAGAACCATTCTTTTTTTTTGTGTGTCAAGCTAACAAAATTCCCATGGCTTATAATTGTTGTTTTTTTTTTTGGAAAACTAACGCAGATATTTCCTATTTTTTTTGTATTTAATAATATTATTTTATTTTCATTTATGATGAACATTTTTAATATTTATTTATTTTTTCAAATACTCCCAATTCGGAACTCCAAATTTTGAATAAAACTGCTAATTGGCTTGGAACTGAAGTTGTATTTTGGAGTTTCGGAGCGGTCTTTACCGTAGATTGTAGAACATGCAATAGATTGTGGAAAACTGCTAATTGGCTTGGAACTCAAGTTGTATTTTGAAGTTTCGGAGCGGTCTTTAGCGTAGATTGTAGAACATGCAATAGGGGTGGTTTGGAACTTGTGCCATCTAACCGTCTCACAATCGGAAGAACGGTTTTGAAGCCTATGTTCTCGATTGCGTGGCGCACTTGTTTGTAGAGTGAATGACGGAGTCAGATTTGAAGTTCGCACGAATCATTCAAACGGTGGGAGCTTCAAGCTAAGCTATGAGCTGGTTGGTTTACTAGCTCACAACTTGAAGCTCCAAACCAATGTTTGTAAAATCGAACAGGAACGGTTAACCGATTTTGAGGTTAAGAGTGATTTGAATCGAAACCGGACTAACCGAAGCATTTAATCAATATT